TCTAATATTAGCATCATAAAAAATGCTATTAAAGCCTGATTTGTTATTTTTTCGTAATCTGCAGTTTAAAGCATTTTTTCTATGGTTTGTTTCTCTAAGATTACATGATCTATTGTCAAGTCCTAAACGGTTTTTATGATCGCACATCTTCATTTCAGAATGAATAAAATTATGAAATCTTAAAGTTGTCTAATTATTTCCTAGTTTAATATTTGTCTCAACATAATATGTATTATTTTTTTTATGACTATACCAGATATATTGATGAAGTTTTGAATAATTTTTGATATCACAAAGGAATGTAAAATCTTGTTTTTGCGTTTTTGCTTCCAAGTAAGCAAGACCTTGAATAGTAACAAGTCATACTTGATTATAGATTTTGTTTTTTCTATTATTATAAGTAGATTTTTTTCCTCCATGAAATTTGGAGATAACCTTAAATGTAGGATGAATTTTTCTCCAAGGAGAAATATCAGATTCTTGCTCAAAATTAACAGTAGACATTTTAATATAATTTAATAAAAAAACTTTTATTTATATAAAAAAGCATATGAAATATTTAAATAAAACTTATAAGACTTTGGTCTTATGATTTCAAAGGATTCTACAAGAAAGACAACTTGCCAAACTCGACATGTTGGTCGTTAACTAACAGAAGTTGTTTTAGATTTTAACAACTAAAATAAAAATCAACTACCCTTTCATTAGTCTTCTACATAATAAACTATTGTGAGCTGAGAGATATGCTACATTCTCATTCGTTCAGCTTGTTTTAACTAAAAGCATATCATAATTAAATAAATAAATCAAGTTTTAATAAAGTACAGCAAAATACGGGACAAAAAACTGCAATTTTTAACGTTTATTTGCAAAATTGTCATTTTCAATAAACATGTTAATCATTTCGTGTTAAAAACATTTAACTGGTAAAATCTAGCAATCTACTAGTATATAGATCATAAGTTTACTATTTAGAGTTAGGGTTATGTCGAAATTGAATTAATATGAAAGATAATCAATATTTAATAAAAAATTATATCGTAATATTTTTTTTTTAAATATGTTTACTATAAATTAGAATTATAATTAGAAGATGTTCATGAAAGTTAAAAGCATTTTGAATAATTAATTTTTTAACTTCGTTTATAAGTTTATATCAATGAAATATTTTAATACATCAATTATTTACAAATATGAAACCTGGCTTTTTACGTAATATGTAATTATCTTGCCCATCTCTATTTCGAAACTCTTACTTCTATATGATTATTATTATTGAAGATCTTAATAATTATTTAAAACTAAATATATTTCATCTTTCATATACAACTTTCATAATTAAAAAAAATGCATCACTTAAACTTTTTCATTTATTTTTTGATTTTATTTTTATTACCTTTTCAATCTGCTCATTTGATAAAAAATCAAACTCTTAATCATTTACTTAAACGTAGTGATTGTTTATGTGGACCACCTCAAGATTGTATGAAACCACAATGTTCTTTACATCTTTTGCAATATTGTTTTAAAGGATTATGTGTTGATAGATGCAATAGTAATGACAATTGCCCTATGAAAGTATGCATTGATGGAACTTATAAATGCAATACTGACAAAGATTGTCCTGCTCCATTTCTATTTTGTTATCCTGTTAATGGACAACAAGGTGATTGTTGAGTTTGTAAAATGGATACTGACTATACATCAGCGATGTCCATCAGATGGTTCTATTGCATGAATAGAAATTGTAAAGCTTGTCAAGATCATAGTCATTGCCCTAATAGGTATTTTTGCAATAGTGAAAATGGATATTAAAAATATTAAAATGACAATGACTGTCTGTCTGCGTTAGGAAAATTTTGTAATCTTGAACAGGGCATGTATTGCACTAAACTGGATTGTACATATGACACTAGTGATGATTATTCAGAGTTTTTCCCTAATTGTATTTACTTAAAATTTTCTAATGTTTCTAGATGTAGAGGATGTTTTGCAAACAGCGATTGTACACTTTTAAATAATCCTGAACTTGCTTTTTGTCATAATAATTTATGTTGTAAAAATAATGGTTGTGCATATAAAACATGTTTTGACTATCCTAAACATAGTTATTGCGGACCTGAAGGATATTGTAAGAAATGTCTAATGCATAATAATAATTGCCCTTGACTTCATCTATAAACACAAAAAATAATGAAATTTGATATCTACATCCCAAATCACTGTGATAAATATAACAAATAACTTTACTTGTATTCAATCAAAAAAAAAAATGTTTATTTAGTGGTATTATCAATCCAATAAAATCATTTACACTGTTAACTATACAATATCGTTATCACATGACTCATGTGTAATGATGTCTACAATATATGGGGCTTTTGCTATTAAACTGATACTCTGAGCTATTGTTACACAGTAATTTTATTAAGAAAATCACAATGACTCTATTTTTAGCACAAAAAAATTATAGCAAAGACCCCAATTAATATTATTGTTCCTAATTTGAG